CCCAAGTTAGATATCTCCTATGTCAGGAAATACTTTTATAAGAAATCATATATAGCACTAAAAACACTAAACCACAAAGTGTGTTATTTTGGGTACCATGGTACATCATAAAATTCAACGATGCACTATTTAAAATTTTTCTTTTTTTTTAAATAGCGTTTAAATATAGAATATATTTATTTAATTGTTAACTGATATGAAAAATTACATATATTAAATATTAGTATCATGTATCACGATTACTAAATGCTATAAATAGTTAAGGTAAAAATGAAGCTGAATATCATAATAACGAATTCTATTGTTTTATAATCTGATATTTTTTAAAGTGTATAAAAATACATTTGATTTTTTGGGTAAAGCACACACCAAATAATTATGATCACCACTGCTTCAAGTACCATAAGGACCTTAATAATTAACAAAAATCTTTGTCGAGAAATGCGTGGAGTTATAAAGTGGTCCCAGTTCCAATTTTTGTATTTTTTGAGACAGTAAGATAAAATTATACCCAACAATTGTATTGCGATAATACACACAAAAGTTATAATAATAGCAAATTTGGTATATGATTTATGGCACAATGATTGGCCGGGGATGAAACTGTTAGTCCAAGTTATACACGGCATATTCATATCCAATATATAAATGTGATCATTTGTCTCATCCGATTGACCCACATCGTTAGTGACATTCCCTTTTTAAGATAAAGACAAGTATTAATTTTATTTATAATAAATAAATATATACATATAACAAATAATAATAATGATTATAGCATGATAATTACCGTAGGCAACTATCATATAATTTTGATAGGAAGTTACGGAATGATAGGCCAATGGTGGTGCTTTAACGCCCGAAGCGCCCGGGACAATTAATTCAGAATATATATAAGGTTTTTTTGAAATATCTAACAAAACCATAACGGGTTTTGCAGTGGTTTCATTCCGTACATAACCTACAAATAAAGAAATAATTAGTATAATTAAATACAGAATTATTTTAAAAAAAATTTTTTTATTGATAGTTTACTCGAAGTGCCGCCAATTATGATAATTGACAAATTGTCTGGTGCCAAATTGGCCGTATGGCCTGCTCGAGGTTGAATAAAAGCTGATCCAAATTCCGCTTGCTACAGATATAATATTGTTAGAAAAAAAAATGCAATAATTAATTACTAAAAAAAAAAACCCCCAAATACATACTTCAGTCGACCAGGTTGAAGAAATTGTATCGAATACTGGGATCTGTAATAAGAGTTTATAAATATATTTTTGTCAACATATAAAGATAAAATTGACTCAAAAAGATAATGCTTAGTATATCTAAAAATTTGACATAAAAGTATCT